AGAAAATCGGAGAAGCGGACAGTTGCTGAGGCAGGATTGAACATGAGAAGACCAGCAGCTCAACGTGCAAAAAAAACGCACGCCTTTCACTTTAGAGCGGCGTCCTGGGTCGTCCCGGGCAGGCGTGTACATGCGGAAACCTGCCAAGATATCCTGACGAGCGTTGAAGACCTGTGAACGGAGAAAAAGCTGGCGCGTCAATGCGCTTGAGGGTTCCTGCGCATGTCAGTGGGGAGGTGGCGTGTTTCTGATTTGAATATTGTGCCGTCAGCGGTGCTTGAAGGAGTGTGAGTCAAGCCTACAACCAAAAACAAACCCACCAAAGCTAAGAACTAGCAGAGAACTGTCAGTCTCCGTTGCTGTTTTCCAAACTGGTGGTGAGCTGCGATACAACACCGCAATGAGAATATATTCTTCACTTAAGTCAGCACCCTCCAACGGGTGACACAGCACACCACAGTGGGAAGATGTTGCGAAACACACGCAGGAGCTTTATACAAATGTCTTCACACGAAAAGTTAACGCTTTACTGCTACTGCAGTAGACCTGGCCTGAAGGGCAGAAAGGCAGAAAGTCGACAGAATACCCGTCAGGAAAACAGCGTGGAACGCATGCGCACACGCGCGCGCGCAAACACACATCCAACCACGTAGGCGCGCGTGTACTATATAGGACCAACACGGGGTAACTGTACGAAGGGCAGTCTATTTTTCTTTCGCCAAGACACAATGTGGCTGTGATCGCCAGTGGTTTTGCAACGGTGGTTTGTTCCTTTTTCATTGTTTAATCCATTGCGTGTCCATGTGAGAATTTGAAAATCCCAGGTGATTCAGGAACCGATGGTGGACCCGACGAGTCCGACGACCACAAAGAAGGAGAGCCTAATGCGGGCGTACGTCGGAGAGGTTTCCTGCAGTTTGTAGTGCGGAATTTCAGAGGGATATAATTCGTGAAGTGGCACAAGTGGCCTACTGAAAGATTGTCATCTTAGAGCGAGAGAAGTGTTTTGTGATATGTTTGTGCAGCGGGAATGACGTGGGGAGAGTGTGTCTCGAGCCTCACACCTATACAGTTTCCGCGGCATTCATTTGACAGGATCGAAGCCGTTCGCCAAAGAGAGATAAGGCTTGGAAATCATCGGCTGGCAGGGCGAACTGACAATGTAAGGGATGACTCTTCTTGGTGTCACAGACTTGCAACGCTACTCCCTCACAAACATATTGAAGTCGAAATCATCTGTCTAATGTGAGATATGAAAAAGGTGCCATTTTCTGCGGACGGATAAACCACATATCTATATACATGTTTATATGTATATATACAGAATTATTCATGTATATACATCATAGACCCAGTGAGTGACATGTTTTGGACTATCAACTACTCATTTTTTGAAGGTATTGTGTTTTTATCACTCGGTTGATGACTCGGGCAATACATGAAGACCTCTTGAATACATTGTCCGATCACACGCCTCCATGACCATCCGCGTTTGAAAATCGATATATATATATAATATACGGTATATATACCATTCAATACCTCTCCCGAACACATCCATTCCGGTTCCCCATGGCTTCTGAAAGAGATAGGTCAAACGCATTAGATTCCAGCAGTATAGTTCCTGTTTGGTTGGCGATGCCATTCTGTTTGTTGGGACCGACGGCGCAAACTCGGCCGCCGTGCACCAGAGGCTGGAGGAAAAAGGAAGGTTGTGGTGAAGGAGTGTTGGCAGCCGACATGGCGTCTTCGCAGCGACGCTGAAAGTCTCTTTGGCTGCTTGGCTCTCTTTGGCTGCTTGGCTCAGCTTCGTGTTCAGGTTTAATTACAATGTTTGAGTCGCAACAGGTTTCACAAATGTTTGCGGACCTTAAGTCTGCAGTCATTGTCCTTCGATGCTAGTCTGCCAAACGATACGGAATACGGACATACTCTTTTCTTTCATTGCGCCATCGCGCAACTAATGCTGGGCGCGCGCTTCCCAGCTCAGCTCAGAACCAGAAACTGTCGCATTTTGTGCGTTTGGCGCCTGAGGTTCTGTGCAGCATTTGTATCATGATCGCGCGCATCATGGCGTGGCACGAATTAAGTTTGTCTCACATGAGGCAGCGCAGAAGTGTGTCGACGAATGGAGGGCCGAGTTTATGTGAAAAGTGCATGTGTGGTACAGTGAGTAACAGGTGGGCACAGACATCGGGCCAGGTGACTATACCTATACCAGTTGCAATGTCTGGACCCAAAACTATATGAAACGACAAGACTTCTGTCAAACTTGAACTGTCCAAACTTAACCCGATAGAATCTCTCGACAAACTCCGAAGAAATGACCGCTCGACACACCACAGCTGCCAAATGTGCAGTCTTGCAGTTCAGCTTTTGTTGCTCTTGCGGTCAATGCGGAAGCGCACCTTGACCTGATCGCTGTGGCAAGCCCGCGGATGTCGGACAGGTCACCATATGTATGAATAGCGCAAAACAGTCTCTAGCCTACAGTTTTCTCGGTAGGGCTGCCACTGCGTGAAACAGACTTCACAAAGTTCAGTGGACCACACAAGTGTGTCGATGAGTGGAAGAGCGAGGCTTGGATGAAAACATCCACTGAGAGAGATCTCCTCGACGACCAGGCAGATCTCCTTTTGGGCCTCCGTGGTCACGTACGGCGTGGCGCTCTTCGGCGACCGAGATCCAAGGAACACCTTAGGTGTACCAGGACAGGATTTTTTCTTGAAAAGCGGAAAGAAACAAAGATCGTCAACAACCATCGTCACCACTGGGCATCGATACAAGAGAAATTCCTTTCCAGGATCGTCCATCGTTTTCGATACCCTTTTCACAAGAGGACCAACGAGTGTCAAATGACACAGGGTCCCTCCAGACCGTGAGAGCCGGTGAGAAAAGAAACCATTTTGTCGCATGCATCCTTAATGCCCAGACACGACGAATGGGACTGCCATATGTAGGCCGGCATTGTTCACGTTAAAACTTAATTAGCTAACCTAGCTAACTTAGCACATGAAAACCAAGCCGTCCAAACTTGTGTTCCGAAACCACAAGAACTGTTTTGAAACCCGAGCCGGCCAAGCTGAACCAGATAGAATAGTGCTGATCGATGCAGCTGTCAGAGTACAGCGCGTTCGGCTTGAGTTGAGCGTGCTAGTGCGGGATGGAGACATGCTTTGGACGTTTGACAATCTTTATCACAGCTGTGCGCCTCATAGGGCACATTCTTCCCAGCCACGGGGGGGCCCCCCCTGGATCAAATCCCCCCTGCGCCGGTTCACGCCGTCATGGACTTCTACCAGGGTTACTTGTGATTGCCTGCTACCTTTCGTTCACCCCCTCCTCTCTCAAGTATTTAAGAAAAAGGGGGATTGGACATGTAGGACCGAGCCTCAAATAAATTGTTGTTTTCATGCAACGTCGCCTTTGTCCATCCTGCGTTCTTTCATAGATCTCATGCCAACGGTGGCGGTTTCGATCATTTGGCGGCCGTTTTGGGGACACGCCATGAGGCTCCAAGAGTCATGTCCGTATGAAGACACGGTCCATTTTTCTTTGAAAAGGCCTGAAGGTAGAAGGCGTATGTATAACTTAAATATCAAATATAGAGGCAGACTAGCATTGTGGTGCTTTACATGCCTTGACCAGGTGTGAAGTGGAAAAAACAGTTGATGGAAGTGCCCCATGTTTTTTGTTTTTATGGTTTCTTGTTGGCTTTCAGTGAGTAACTCGACCTTTCGTGTGGTCTTGCAACATGTCTAGCATTTGAAGTACGGCGTCCTTACCCGCCCGTACTTACGGCGATTTTACCGGTACCCACTCTTCCTCAGGGAGTCCTCAAGACACAATCAATCCTTTCAGCCATTGTGTGATCAATATGTGGACGAATCCTGCCATGCTGTCCACTGAGACCGTGATGTCCGGGGTTGTGCTTCATTTTGGGGTTGTGCTTCATGATCAAAGCGATGAACTCTACTTGCAAACTGAAAAGAGAAGGACACTTTTGCAAGCAGCCAAGCTGCACACAGGGTGTGGACAGACCAAAACAATATCCCTCAGTTAGATTTGGAACATGGTGACTCTATGTGACTCTTTTTTTTCCGATGCACTTTCACTTCTTTGGCGGCACCACTTTCGACTGACGGAGCTACGGCAAGAAGACTTGCCTCAACAGTCTACAGTCTACCGATGTCAACGTAACAAATGCTGCCTAGACCGCAGGGTCTAGGTCTAGGTACAAACATGACCCAAAACCGGTACTTGTCTCCCCGGGTCGACTCCCAGCGAACGAACGAAAACAGGTCGATCCTTGTTCCGAACTGTTCATGGACGGACGCAAAACCGGCCGTGGGTGATGTTGAACGAACTTCAGGCAGCAACCTATCATTCCGAGGGTTTCGAGGGTTTCAGTACGAGCAACCCTATCATTCCCAGTATCATTCCCTCATACTGTAAGATTGATTTAGGCGTATCACCGATGGCACAATGAAAGCAGTTGAAACAAACAATTGGAAATTGTTCATTCACTAAAGGGATAATTTAACTTATTCTATAATTGGAGGGAATACGTTGTGTTGTGAAATTTTGCGACAGTATGCTCAACATCCATGGAATGTAGTGTTTGGGTCAACACCCTGGGACCCTCGTTAGCTTGTTGAAAACGAACCAAACAAAAAAACAAACAAACAACATCCACAAAACACTGCGCCGAACAAGGACAAAATTGGCTAAACTCTTCACCAAATTACAAGTATATTTTTTTTGGTGGGTTTAGGACATTAATGTAGTTATTTTCAGACATTAGTTTGAATCGAAGGGGGCCGCTCCCCGCTTCAGACTAGTTTGCTAAGCGTGGTCAAGGATTTGGCACACCTATCCTGCCAATCGGAATAGCTTATATATATATATATATGCAGCAACCACTATAAGAGCTATAGAGTTTTTGATGTCTTTCTGAAGATGTTCACAATGGACGCCACCCACATCCCCCAGAGTCTCAGGTTCCGAATCATTGCAGTCTTTGCCTCTCGGTCGATTCACAACGTTGTTCGAGAAGAGAAGACGTGTGACCACGCGCGTTGATGATTTAAGAACTGGGACTTCTAGCAAGGTGGGTCGTTTCTTTTGCCCATGCCACATGTTCTCATTCTAGAGTAACAGTACTTTATAATACTTTGTTTACCCGTTGATTCAATGAAGGGGGCTTGGTCACCATTTGCACTCTGAGCCTGATCAGGGTAGTTTCCAACCACAGTGTATGGAAATGTTTGCCAATTTGTTTAGTAGATGATATGAGCACTCATGTCTAGTGTGCAATAGTGCAAAGACCATGAGTGTGATGAAGCCAAGGAAGACATGCCAGGTTGAGAAGGAATTAGGACTCAGCACAGGCCTGGACCCAGTCTGACCCAGCCACATGATTTCAAGCTGCTTGGGTTTGGGGCCAAGGACTGGGTTTATTCTGAGATAGCAACTGCGATAGCAACATTCACACTCCCTGAAATCCTTGTGTCCTTGTGGAAGTGCAAAACCACCTGTTTGTATAGAGGAAAATGGTCGTCCGACAGGCCATGGTATTATGCAGTGGATAGTGGATTGATCTCTTACCCAGTTTCCATTATGCCTTCCTGGGTCTAAACAGTTTAAACTTGTTGAAGTCCTCGCATGGATATTGATACAACTTTGGCTTCTTCGGAACACCTTCGGCACTTCCGACACTTCTAGCAAAATCCATAGCTGAAGAAGCATCAGCCGCCTCTCCAAGAACCTCCAGCCTTCCAAGAACCGCCAAACTCTGGTGTTTTGACTGAGGAAGTTGTTGGCACAGGAGCTGAGCAACGGCTGGCGGAAGCAGGTGAGGCACTCAGGGCCCCCAAAGGATGGAACTGTTCAGGTTCTTCCACCGAGGGTGGGGTTGAGTTTCGGGACCTTTGGATCATTTTGGATCGACTGAGTTCGACTTTTCAATCCGATCTCATCTCTAGAAGTGGGGCAGTTCTTTCATTTGCTTTCCAAATTTACATGGAAAGCGTTAACAGGATAATATGCGGTATGCGTGATGTCCATCCTTCACTTCAGATCTTCATGGCCGTAACTCTCAGAAGTTCTTCTCCCCTCTTGACCTCCTTGGCAGCGCGCCTCACCACCTGCGCTACACCACCGCCTCAGGCGCTCCAACACCTTTGCTCCGACGTCATTGCCCACGAGAAGATGCCGCCCGCCCAGCGGATGCGACGCTTCTGCTCCGCCGGGGAGCCCAGCGGTGACGCATCGCGTCGAGAGGAGAAACGCGGCGTTCGTCGCCCAGCTGGTGCCCACGCAGCGCTGGGCTTGGAGGGAGTTCGTTTCGGCAGAAAGAAACTTGAGAATCAGGGAGAATGTGTTTGTTTTCTTTCAGGAATTGCTGGTCAGATGGGTTGCTCAACCTTGCTGAACTGAGCTACCTTGCGAAAAGAAACCTTTCCCCCCATTTTTGACCACTCCATGTATTGCTTAAATTTGTTTGGGAAGGTCTACAAGCAAGGAGTCTTTTGAGACTCAACTTTGGATTTACAACCAATTCGGACCCGGAGGGAAACCCACGACTGCGACTGCAGCAATTAGCAGAACATTTCACCATCTTTGTCTCTACATACTCCGATCTGAAAGAACTCATTCTACCGCGCACGTGTGAGGCGGAGCCCCTGAGAGCCTGTTTGCGGCCATTCCAGGCTCATCCAGGGGAGGTCCGAACTCGTCCACTTCGATGTACCTGAAACCCATCCATTTGGAACCCTCATCGGTCACATTACCAGGCCTCCTCAGGATGGACAGGGTTGACAAATGGATGTGACAGTTACACTCCTCCAGGGAACCCGAAGATGTGACATGGGGGCCCGGGGTCATTCAACCTGACCACGGATGGCGACTCGCTTGCGCATGCTTGCGCCCGGCGACTGACTTCTGGTCTGACCCGCGGTACTTCGAGGCATTCGAAAGGTCAACGGAGACTCCACACAGATCGCCATATGTCTCAAAGCCAGGTGTCTACTAGTAGGTTCTAGTAGGTACATATCCTGACAGGACAGAAGTCATGAGTGACTTGCAACCTGTCCCAGTTTCCCTCTTTGGATTCATAGGGTGCCTATTATTCAGGAAACTGGAAGGCTGGTGGCGTGCTGCATGCAGATGATTCACTTGGACAATTGAGCCACCCTGCTTTGGGGGTCTCTCAAGATTTCTTGCTTTGGTTCAGGCTCCTTCAAATTAAGTCCAGAATCCCAACTGCACTTCCATTCCCTAGTGCCAGACAAATCCCATACAGGTCAGCATGGTTAAATTTAATTAGGCAGGTCATGCTCAGTCATGATGTTTCGGGACTCGTTTTCTCACAATGTCTCCCTTCAAATCCAACTCGAGGTGAACCATATCCAACCTGTTGGAGACTCGATATACCTGCCCTGGAGGGGTTTGTAGACAGCCGAAGGAACCGAACTGGCTTAATCCAACAAGCCTGGATCACTGGTTTTTGCAACAGGACGCTTTGTTGAGGTCCCCTTGTTTGTCAAAAACCCGCAGAAACAAGTTTGGTATTCTTGAACATGCAGGCACCAGGAATTCTGTGCACCCACAAGTTGTCTCTCATCTTTTTGCCGGGTATATAGCGCGGTAGAGGTAGTATGTTCTCGCTACATTTGGTGTCATCCAGTATTGATGTATATACTCTTAGCTAGTATTTGTTCCATACATGATCCGGATCAGTCTACTCCCCTGCAGAGGACTGCATGGAACCCCAAAACCACGGAGGAAATGGTCCAGTCAATTCTCAGGGAGTATCTTCCACCTGAGAAGTTCAATACGCCACCGAAAATGCCACCTCCCTTCTCCTTGGAGGACCAAATCAGCTTCAAGGTGGAGGATCAGATCATCGCACCGAGGCTGGCAGGGGAGGAATCAGCTGCGGAATCCGCTGTTCTTTTTTCCACCGAACATATGGGACATGACCCAAACCCAAAAGAGGTACGACTGGAGCCCCATTTGAAGTATGTTGAAGTACGAACTGAGACTCCAGGTGGTCCTTCAAAGGTCTGAAGAAGCCACCCATGCCCTTTGCTCCGTTCGTAGCGTCCTTGCTCCTAGTAGCGAACCTTGCTCCGTTCGTAGCGATGCCCTGTCCTTGCTCCGTTCGTAGCGTCCCATCGCTCCGTTCGTAGCGATGCCCTGTCCTTGCTCCGTTCGTAGCGTCCCATCGCTCCATTCGATTCGCGATGCCCTGTCCTTGCTCCATTGGTAGCGTCCCATCGCTCCATTCGATTCGCGATGCCCTGTCCTTGCTCCGTTCGTAGCGAGTTCTTTGTTTCTACGTAGCACATATATTCCTGTCCCATGGACTGTTTCGATGACTTCGGCCGCACGGCGTGGTGAGCGTCCGGCTGTCGCAGCTCTTCCGATGTTCCGTGGGATCGGATGCACTGAACCGGCACTGGTTGGAGGTCTTACAGGGACACCATGAAGCAGCAGTGCGATGAGCTACATGGTCTGCATGGTGGTTTTGGTATGTTTTGGTGGAAATGAGTCTGAAGGCTGAAGGGAACACCCGATGACCCCTGCAGGATGATTACACTCCCACACATTCGAAGTATACTTTCCTCATCTTTCCTCCACGACCCAGATATTTGCCACATCCATGTGTTTGTATGTGTTTGTTATATATAGCTGTACCATGCTGTACCTCCCGCCCTTAGAATCCGCCCTTTTTTCACTGATCCGCTTCAACTCGCTGAGTTCACTTTTTAAAAGGAGTCGCATGAAGGAGCAACTGTTTGCCCGGCGGAACTCGTCCCCATGGACCCTCCAAAAACGACTGGTGCAGCTAGAGGAAGACCGTCTTTGCAGGGTGCCGTTCGCCCTACCGTCGACTGGTGCAGTACCTCAGAATCATTGGGGGGGGGCAGGAGAGTACCTGGACTCGACTTCAAGTAACTTATAAAATGGCATCTCACTCAGAACCTACAACAAATTTGGTAATACTTGTATCAATTTTCCGAGGTACAAGCTGAGACTCCAGGTACCTTGTTTGGGGGGGTGCCTGTCAGGTCCCATGTTCGATGGATTTTAGAGGTCCAGCTATTCATTTCGCCCAGGGGATTCACTGTCACCCTTTGATCTTGAAGGTGGACCCCTTACAAAATCACCGAACGATTATATTAATATATATATATATATTATAATCAAAGAGTCTTCACCAGCACCACGGAGTGTGGGTGGTTGATGGACAAAGTTTTTCCCCAATAAAATCCAACAAATGTTCCTTCAATCACCACTCATTCTGTGTTTGCATGTGCTGGCAATCAGCTTCAAGGGTGGCAGTCGATCCCTCGATCTCCGAGGCACTGGCCCTTTTCTCAGGAGGACCTCGCTCGGCAGACCGTGCTCCTGGAGCGCATTGCGGCAGAGTCGCAGGTGGGGTGGCGGAGGGTGTCGAGCTGAGTGAGAGCTGAGGTGAGCGGAAAAGCTGAAGAAGTTGAAAGTGATATGCAAGGCACCCACGAAGTGTTTCCTGTAGCCAAGGTAGCTCAGAGGAACTGAGGGTAGCGTGGAGTCCATGCCATGCTCGCAATCTGGTTGCTCCAATAACATGTACCTGGAGTCTCCGTTCGTATCTCGGAAAATGCATTACAAGCTATACAAGTACTTGTTTTTACTAGGGTCATGTGCCATTTTCTAGGGTACTTGAAGTCGAGTCCAGGTATTTGGCTGTGGCCCTCTGCCCCAAAAATCTGACTCTCATTAGGGCATCTCAGTCACAGCCCTCACTCCGCTCCTGTCACAGCCACCCAGCAGGTGGCCGAACACCAGGAGATGCATCAGGGCTTTGCAGCGGAGGTGGTACACGAGCAGGTGCCGGCGCGAGCGGATTGGACGGGATTGGACCAGTGGAAGGAACTTTGCAAACCTGGCAGATCTTTGAGCGGCCTCTCGTTCAGTTCTCTCCAAGAAAAGGAAGCCGGCTTGGGAATCCCAAAGGGGGGGGGTGGTCCTGAATCATGGATCTGGATGGTTCTTGGATTCCAAAAAGGTGGACCTTGGGTTGAAGTTCAGCCAGAAGCATTTATGATTGGTGAGATCTATAATGTTGATTTGACATGATTTGACCATCTATATATTGAATAATGTGCTATGCTCAGCATATACTGACCGTTTACTATACATGGCTAGATGTTCTTGCCAATGCATGGGAATACATGGGGTGTACAGGGCTGTGGATGATTTCGGCCTACACAGACCCGGTCGCACCCGGTTGTTTGATAATTGAAATTTGAATCTGGCAATCTTTCACAGGTGGCGTTTGAAGTTGTCACAATTGGCGGACTTGGATCATGCTCGTTTTCAGTGTGCTCCACCTCCTCTTGTCCCCTTGCCAGTTCTTTCACTCCTTGATTTGCGCACAGGAACAGGAGCAGCAACAAGAGCAAGAGGAGGAGCAGGACTCCAGTCTTGCAGCCTTCATTGGAGAAACAGCAAAGGTGTCAATAGGGATGAGGTCCCAGTATAGTCGCTATACAGGTACATGCCATATACTTTTGGCTCAAGTGCCCAACCAGTTAACAAGGAGCTTTAGCGCGCGAGCTTCATGTTGAACTAAGGGCTAGAACGGGGCCAGGGCACACCTTTCCATCCGTTCGCAGGTTATCAGCCGTATCCAGACTCCTTTGAGCTGGGTACGAGCTGCGGCCTTACACAACACCATCTAAACGCACACGCATCGGATAGATCAGTTACCCTCAGTCACTGAAGATGGACCAATCCGACGCCAGCACTGCATCTTTTGGAGCAGCTGCTGCGGCCGCAGATCGGGTGAGTGCATCCCACAACTCTAGTCCAGGTACGATCGAAGCGGAGACTCTGACAACGGTGAGAGAAGGTGCGACAGGTAGAGCACGAAGTCGTTCCCCGTCAGCGCACTCGACACCACCGGGGGGGACACCGAGATCAGGCCGTAGCCCTAGGGAGACCAGGAGGAGGACTGACACCGGAGCGGTGAGAGTGTTAGCATTGGAGGATGGGTCAGCTGTACCAGTGCCGTCGGACAGCGAAGCTGGAGATGGAGCAAGGGCAAGCACTGACAACCTACAACTAGCACGGGCCGATGGAGACCTGAATGCGAAGTGTGCGCAACTACTTGCCGAAGTGCATATGTTGAACCACCAAAACGCATGGATGGTCGAATGTGAGCAGAGACAGAACCAGATTATACAACACGAGACCGAAGTCCACGAAGTAGTGATGGCACACCTCGAAGAATGTTATGTCGAAGGATATGGAAATCAACGAAGAATCACCCAACTTACAGAATCCAGAGACTGTTTGCTCTCGGCAGCACACGACCTGCAATACCAGATGGACACTGATCGTGTGGCAATGCGGGATCGTCTCACCCAGTTAGGGGAGTACGCTGATCGCAACAGCGCAGAGATGGTTAGTCAAGTTGTGAACATCGGCACGGAAGAGATCCAGGCTATATCGGCAGAAAGAGATCGAGCCGTAACCGAGGTCATGACTACAATCGCAGATGCTGAGAACGTCAAGGACCTGTGTAGACAGGAGTTAGTTGGGCTACAAAGGCAGAGTGCCAGAAACAAACACGAATATGCTGAAGAGATGAAGATGAGGGAAGCAATATATGCAAGCAAGATCAAATGGTTATCGGAAGAGAATGAGGAGCTCAACAACCGATCTAATACTCAGGACAAGTTCATCTTGAGCATCAGAGAGCAATTGAAGAAGGCGAACGAGGAGTTGACTCAGACGAGGATTCAAAGATCCGATCGACCTTTTCAACCATCCAACGCCGAACTCAAGAAGGCCGAAGTCAAGGTGAACATGTTGGAAGAGGACATTCTACGTAAAGAGAGGATGCTGAAGCGTCTTCAGGAAGAATTGATCGAATCAAGCGCAAGTGAAGCACAATTGAAGGTCGCACTGAAGTTGAAACCACCAGACATGGGATCAGGACCCAGTGTGGAGAGTGAGATGATGACCAAGCTTAGAGCGGAACTTGAACGTACTGAAAAGTCATTAAGGTCCGAGGAGAAAGAGGCAATCGAGTACTACGAAGGTATGATGCAGAACCAACAGGACATGATGGAATTCGAAGCGCATGCATCACGGCTCAGAGATGAGAGGAATAAGTACCGGAAGAGGTACGAAGAGGAGCGCATGAGTGCAGAGAATGCAGCCGCAACCGAACATGGTGCCGCTTCATCCTCCAGCTCAGGTGGCTCCAAGATATCTCGGAAGGAACACGAGAAGATCAACATCCCTGCATGGCCCAAGATACACGACCTGGAGGTTTGGAAATCCCAGGTTGTTGCGGCAGTCGTGACGGCATCGGGCGACGAGAAACAAGAAGACTGGATCCAATGGCTCTCGGATGCCTTCAGATCACCATATGACCCATTTCTACTCGAGACATCAGGCGAGGCAAGATTCGCTAGCATTGACGCTAAGCTAGGTATCACCCTACACACGATCATCCACGCAGCAGGTGAGAGATCTCACGACGTACAACTGAAGGTGAGACAGATGATGCAGAAACGTGCGAGAGGCACAACTCCTGGAATGGTCAAGGGACGAGAAATGTTAGCGTTGATCGTCGATAGTTTCCGGAGTGCCGACAACGTTGATGTGATGTATGCATCCAAGCACTTATTCGATCTAAAGTTCCCTGGGGATAATCAACTATCCAGATTCCTTGGACAGTGGGATGAGATCATATCAGGTATGGATGCGGATGACATGCTTCCTGATAAAGCACTTCGCAACCTGCTCTGGGATAAGATTAAGGATTCCAAAGTTATGGCGTTAGACTTGTCTGTGTATGACAACATGTTGGATAAGGATCCGGATAAGACCTACCAGAAGTTACGAGAGATCATGACGAAGTGGATACGGAAATCAATCGAGACCACAAACAAGAAAGAAAGGGAAAAAGCTTTTGGGAACATCGTGAAAGCCACACCAGCGGCGGAGAAGAAGGACCCTAAAGCGAAGCCCAAGAATACCAAGGCCGATCCACCGAAACATGACGCCGCTCCAGTACTTCCTCAGGCTAATCCGAAGGACCACAACAAGAAGGACAAGAAGCAGGATCGTGGAAGATCAACCACGAAGAGCCCAAAGGGGGATCGTGGCAGGTCAGCGACTCCAGCAGATACGTCCAAGATAGGATGCGCTTTCCACTTCCATGGGAAAAACGGATGTTCTAGAGGAGACAAATGCAAGTTTAGTCACCAAGAGAAGCACAAAAGTTCTGCTAAGAAACCAGAAAGCCTCAAGGGTGACAGATCAAAGAGTCCAGGTGGCAGGAGCAGTAGCCCTAAGCCAATGAAGGATCAGGTCTGTTGGAATTGGCAGAAAGGATCGTGCAAGTTCGGGGACAAATGTCGACGTCAGCATCAAGCTGCTCCTGCTACAAAGCAGGAGGCTAAAGGCAAAGCCAAGCCCAAACCGGCTGCGCCAGCCTTCATGCTTTGCGGAGACATCGAGAGTGATGACGAGGACGTACAACCCGCACTTCCCAACGTACAACAAGGTGAGCTGGCGCTTCGCTTTAAAGTCAGATTTGATGACCAGGCGAACGTGACCACGTTCACCTGCGACCCTGGTAATGAGCTAAACACCCGTCCCCTCAGGAAGAAGAAGAATGAAGTGCAGAAGGTGGATACCGAGTTCATTTCGTCGTTGAGAGCCCTCAGAGTGAGCAATATAGCTGCACGAGTAGCACATGCCAAAGGTAAGATGATGGAGCTATTCTCTGCTGAACACATTGCCAAGGCATGGATACAAATCACTCAAGATGAAGGAATCGAGGTGAACGTCGACCTGTCTGATTTCAACACCAGCGAGGTAGTAAGGAAGGATTCTGTCAACTACACGATACCAGGAGACACGATGTTCATGGCCGTGGAGAGGTATGATGGACCACCAATACGCTTGATCATGGACACGGGATGCGGACACGATTTGATCTCAAGAGAGAAAGTCAATGCCATGGGCCTTACCACCAAGGAAGGACCCAAATCCGTGAGTTTCATGACAGCGAATGGTGTAACTAGTACATCAGAGATGGTGGACATCAATGTGGACGAACTACCCATGAAGTCCGAGGCACACGTGTTGGAGAGCACACCATCAGTCTTTTCCATCGGGAAACGGTGCATGGAACAAGGGTACTCATTCATATGGCCGGCAAATCAATTGCCATACCTCATCGACCAGAACGCGAACAAGATTCCGCTATCGGTGCATGACAACATACCCTACATCAAGGTGAACGATGATGACGGGAGATGCTTACCAAGACCAGACGGCTTGGCTACGATACTTCATCGCATACTGTCAGGTGTGGGGCATGAAGACGAGGCCACAGCAGGTCAGGAGACACAACAAGAGGAACTTCCGCCCAAGAAACCACGGAGACGGAGGAGAAAGAAGAAAGATAACCAGAGAGATCGGAATGGTGAATCTGATATCAATCCAGCTGTTGCAGGCGTCGAAGGAGAACCAGAGGAACACGGTGATGACAGGTATTCTCCTGAAGAGGAATATGACGGGGAAGACCCGAGGTCCGATCGTGATCACGATGGTCAACCTGAAGAAGCCGGAGACGACGAACATGGAGGTGATGCGGATTCTGAACGAGAGGAGAGTGACATTGGTGAAGGTGAAGAGGGACTATTGGAAGTCGATGTGGTTGACGGGGAAGCCAGACTATCAAAACCAGGAGTGCTGAAGAACGAGGCGAAATCCATATTGCACTTGATGACACACCGATACAAGAACCCATACTGCAAGTCATGTGTGAGAGCAAAGATGAAGCACTACAAGACTAGTAAGGGAGCTTTCAAACGAAAATTGAAGGCATTCGGTGACCTTATCACTTTCGATCTCATGAACACTCAGAAGATGGCGAGAGATGGGATCATGCCGGATAAGGATGTACTGGTGATTCGAGATCGGTTCACTGGTGTGATATGGGGCTATCCATTGAAAGCAAGCAATAGTGACGAAGTGGTGCAGGCAATGAAGCACTATATCGGTAAGAGAAAGGTCACCAACGCTTACTCGGATGATGCGCCACAATTTGAATCAGCACTCAAGGAACTCCGGATTCCACTAGACCAGTCGCTTCCAGGACATCCCCAGAACAATTCACTCGCCGAAAGAAACAATCAGTTCATGATGCTTACCACATCGACATGCCTACTAGAAGCCGGACTACCACCATGTTTTTGGCCATTTGCAGTGGAATGCGTAAGCCATTTATTGAACATCGAGAAGCTGAGCGATGGCAGTAGTGCATGGTTGAAGTTACACAAGAGCGAATTCCCAGGCATGGTGATACCACTTGGAGCGAAGGTGTTCTTCAAACCTAGTGACGCGAGAGAAAGAGACCAAGATCACAAGTTCGACCCCAAGAGCATAC